ATGAAAAGCTTAATTGATTATTATCATTACAATATCCAGTAAATGTTTCGTTGTTCTTGAAAATTGTTCTAAGTGGAATGAGTGAATGAGAGAGAGAGGTGGGGAGAAAGAGAGAGAGAGTGAAAGAGAGAGTGAGAGATTAACAGTGAAAGGAAGAGGAAAGAAGAAATTGTGACGGAGAAAGAGAAGCCCTAGATAGGCAAAGATTTTATCTGAATTTATTTATCCACGTCTACAAAATATCTTTGACGTTTCTATAAATGACTGAATGTTTAGAGGACCAAGGAACCAATGCTGGTTTCGATTTTCATGAATTGCTGACAAATTTGTTTCTTGGGGCAAAACTGAATTTACAATTCCGTCTTCAATTTGACTCGTACGCCCACTGTCTCTTCCCAGCTTATGTCTACGTCTGCAAACTATTTTTATATCTAGAGAGTGCGTTTTTACTAATATATTCAAATTACCATATTAGTAAAAAACGCAATCTTTTATATTTTCAAAAAAATTCAACCTTAGCGTTGCGACTTGCACGCTCCGAAAGTTTTTATCCGTTAACAAAAACACATTTAAAAAAAAAAAAAAAAACATTTCGATTCGCATTTAATTTTTTTCGTCTCTGATGCTACCTGGATTTTACTAAAAACAAAATTATTTCCATGCCTGAGGATGACTGGCTGTACAGTTGAAAATACTTGCAAATTAAAAAAAGACCTTATACAACTAGTAGTTATTAAAAACATGGATCATAATATTCATCGTATGGTTCGTAGGTTAATGCAACTTTAAAATTTTGTTTGCGAAAGAATTTCGCCATTTTATATCATTAACTTTACTAATCTACTATTTGTATGAATGATCCATTGTAATATAAATTGAACTGCACCATACATACATACATACACACACACACACACACACACACATATATATATATATATATATATATATATATATATATATATATATATATCAGCATGTATCTTATTAAAGGCAAAATAGGCTTTCATGGATATTAAAATTATTCGTTTTATCAAGTATGCGAATTTTACAAATGTTGATGTATAAAATAGGCAAAATTTATTATCAAAGCGAATAGCTAAAATGAATAGTGCATTTTAGCAAGAACACTTTTTTTAAAGTGTCATTATTTTTGTTTGAAAGTGTAGTAGAAAACTGTAGGTAATATGTCATCATCAAGTAATACAAACGCGTGTAATGACGTGATTCTTTCATTTTAGAATAGGTAGGAAGTAAATGAACTTTTTCCTGTGAACAAGATGATAGTCGTACTCACTTTAACATTCCTTTAAGAAAATTTTTTGAAGTTACTTTCATTTTCGTTTTGTCTGATATTTTTTTTCCGGGAGGTAAGAAATTATTTGTTTAATCAAATTCTGCCGTAGAAATAGTTTTCGGATAAGGAAAGCTATTTGCTTTTTCTTGGCTATGAAACAGAATTTTCCAAAATGAATGATAACCAGTTTCTTCTTTTCACCATAATCCTCTCATTTAGAAACACATTCTCGATTGTCATGAAAAATTTATTTTATATGACAACACATCGAAGAAATTGATTATTTTTATTCTCTAATAGAGGAAGGCAGAACATGAAATTATTATTTTTTTCTTTTGCAGTGTTGTATTATTTGGTAATTTGTTTGGAATTCACCTTCCCGCCTTTATTTTTTATCATAAAGATGAGTGAAACTCTACATCATTTCCGTGTGTTTACTTGGGTTCGGATACTACAACACGAATCTCAGACTCAGTTAATTCCTTTGATATTGACAAAGCATCGCTTCCTTCCTTTACTTTTACAATTTTCAATATTCTAGCCGCTTTGGTGAAACCTTTCGAGACAAACTTAAAACCGTAAGAAAAGAAACCGTTCTTTTACCAAATGTCTCGTTCATGTGCTGTGGCATTAATTCTTAAGAGCAGTGCTAACCAACGATTTCAAATATAAATGATGAAAAACACAGCAGGAAACCCTTTTTAATTAAAAAAGTCTGCAATTTCTTTTGTCATAGCACAACTCTTAACATCAGCAAAATACTCAACAAAGGGCAGCAATGGAAAAGTTACAGGGGAGAAGAACAACATTTCGTGATATTTTATTTGTCTCGTCCCTATATTCTATTGACATAAAGCATTACCTAAATCTATAAGGAATTCCGTATTGCCAAAAATTGATCCAAATCCCCCCGTTTGATGGCACGACATCTATTTACGTAAACGACCTTTTCCAAGTGTTTGTCTGGTTTATTTTTTCCTAAATAAACACAAAAGGACAAAACAATTTGCTGAAAATAATCGCGCCTGACTTTGACTTCGCAAGAATGTCTCGTATCGAGACATGAAAGACATTTCATGCAATTTGTACGCGTCTCTTTGCTGGCTGAGACATTTTGTTTCACCGTGGTTTATTATCAGACAAAAACATAAGTACTGCTGCCACATCAGGGACAGGACGGCTTAATATTTCCTAGCCTTGACAGAGTTCAAAATCAGCCTTGTGGGTGATGACTTATTTCTTACTCACCAGATACAACGTTACAAGCCTATCTATTACAAGTCTATTACTCCTTAATCTCTATTTATAGAGACGTCAACCTATGACACACTCCCTCTATTATACATCAATTTTCAAAAAGTAATATTTATATAAAATACAAATTTGATTATAACGTAATTATGTACAATTATGAACCATACACAATATAGATGAACAATTAAACTAGAAAAATTAGAAAATAAATACAATGTATCTAAATTAGAGACATGTCATAAGATATCATTTCATCTTAAATAAATCAACAACGTTTTGCGTAATTTTTAACATCATCTTGAGATTTCTGTTGCTAAAAAGTTGAATTATTTAACACATTCAACATTATGGATAAAAAATTGTGATTTTTTTTTTTTTTGGAGACTTAGCATGAAAAAAAAATAATTCACGGATTTGGACGAAAAAATCCCCCCAAAACAACCCAAAATGACGTCAAAATGCAAGAAGATTTGCCATCTTTAATTATTAGTTGTGCTTAGTTTAATTTGTAACGTATATAAATGTAGGTAGAAAAAAGCAAATGTTGATAAGATAGTGAGGGTCACAATTCCCTGCCTGGGTCTCCCAGCCTGGCTTGTTCCCCTCCCTGTCCTGTCGGAAGGTACAGAGGTAGTACGCAACGACCCTAGCTATTTCCATGACAAATGATAAGATCCAATCCAATATGATACAATTTTTACTTCCATCATTTCCGAATTTTATAACTAGAGGACGCCGTGACGTTTCCAGGTAATCGAAAAACAATTATTATTCTTACCTTCGGAATATGGAGGAAATGAGGATGATTTGATTCTCTGCAAGAGCCATGGATTCCTCGAGCTGTAAAGGTTTGAATTGATTGTTGGTTGCTTGTTTTGTTTTATCGCATATCAACCTCAGTGGGTCACTTAATGCTAACAATATTTTGAAATAGATTCATAGCGATAGTTTGGTTTCGTTTGGTTTGCTTTAGTGCATATCAACCTCAATGGGTTACTTAATGCCGACAAAATTTTTGTTGCTGGTAATATTTTTTTTTCCTTCATAAATCTATTTTTGGTAATATTTTTTTTCTTCAAAAATGTATTGCTGGCAATTAATTTTTTTACAAAAATGTATAGCTGGTATTAAAATTTATTTTTACACTTTCATAGTGCTTTGACTCCAGTTTTGGGGTTAACTAATTGCTCATAGCTGGGACCCTAACAGGTGCTACCACTCCGGGTCAAGGTAAACCTGGGAACACCAGCAATTAAGAGGTGGTTCCACACTCCTCAAAACCTCCTGATCAGAGGCCTTGCTGTTGGACATAGTTTATCGTCTTACCCAGGACGCGGATGTAGTTTATCTTCTTACCCAGGACGGTTTGTCTGATCCTCTGCTATGATAGTGATAGAGTAGTGATGTATTTTGCCTAAGAACTACCATTTTGTGGACTCTCACGTGTATTCATTCATTCTGAGCTCGTCAATCAAAAGTCAATCCTCATTTCTCCTTATCCTCACATCTCACACAATTTATCATTAACATTCTTCTACTTTGAGCGGCTCTCGAGCCTTGCATGTTTTTATGCTTAAACTATTTTCATCTATCGTGAGCGTCGCTACCAGTGAGGTTTTACGATACGTTTTCATCCGCTGTGAAAATACCTATTTAAAGAACATTTGAGTAGGCGTTAACGAAGTAAAACGAGATTGCAACGCTGATCAACCTCATTATTTGATTTGATTTTTATTTATTTATTTATTTGACGAGTCGAAATATAGCAACAGGTTTAGGCTTAGTCCGAACGCCTACATTTATGGAAAGCGTCTACAAAAGGACTTTGACTTCTTCCATTTCTTTTTCACTACCCACCCTCTGACCTTAGTTTTTCCTGGGAGCTCCGGGTATTCGAGGGCTTGACAAGTTGGTGTTTTACCATTCTCCACCCCGCAGACCTCTTGATATCTGCGAAATGTCAGCACTTTGACCTTTATCTTGATCGATTGAGGTCTGCATGCGACCAACGTCGCTATAAAAACGGAGGCAGACATCTTTATTAACGGTAAGCGAACGTGATGACAAATGGAGGTAAGATTAAGGCTTGGGTCACGACTCTTTTGATGAATGACTTGATGGCAATCGTCTGGGAATTGGTGCAAACTTTTTTGGTTTTACCGTTTTTTAAGGGCTATTTTTCAGTTTTTTTTTTTTTTCTCTTAGTTCTGTTTACTCTTTTTTTTATTTCTACTACGAATTTTATCATCGGTGTGTGTATGCGCGCCTGCGTAAGTGCATGCGTGTGTGTGTAGTAAAAACATTGAAGACCTGTGTATTTATATTGTTTGTTGCTGCTTTTACGGGTATCAATGAAAGGAATTGCTTGGCTAATCCATTTGAAATAAGCCCCAAATATTACAGATCAGAAATGAAGGAGACTGAGATTGCGAGAGAGCAACAAAGTCAATCAGAAATAGAGAAAGAAAGTGGATTTATAAAAGAGAGGGAGAGAAAGTAATATAGAGAATGTAAAAAAACATATGACAAAAGTGAGAGAAATGTAGAAGGAACGGTTGAAAGAGAGAAAGAAAGGTCGAATGACAAAAAGAAAAGTTACATAATTCTGATATTGTGAGACAAAGAGAATAAAGAAAATTAGGCGGTAAAAGGATGGATGAATTTATTAAAGTATTTAGATAGATACAGAGTGATTAAGAAAGAAAGAAAGAAAGAAAGAAAGAAAGAAAGAAATGGGTTGTGATAAAGAGAAAGGGAAAATGGTTGGAAAGCTCAAGTGACGTTGGCAGGAAGTAGAAAAGGATTCAGGAAAATAAAGAAAATAATTCTAAAGTAAATAAAATTACTTTGACGAATGATGAGAAATAGAAATGGAATCGGGGGAGAAATAAAGAGGTTTAAAAGTAAAATAAAAGCATGAAAATAAGGAAGAGAGTTCAGGCGTGTGAGGCAGATGTCTGGAGGTGCAAACAAATTGTACATTTTCAGGGCAAAAGATGGTTATTTTCAGGGCAACTTAGATCATTTTCAAGGCAGAGTCCTTCATGCCTCACCGTGAATTTTTTTTTTTCCGTTCGCCTTTGGTAGAAGGGAATACATAAGAGAAAGAAAATATATTTAAAACAAAAAGGAGAAAAACGACCGAGGAAGTTATAAAAAAATGGAGAGTATATGAAAATTACGAAGCTGAAAGAAAGAAAGAAAGAAAGAAAGATAGATAGATAGATAGATTTTGTTTTAGAGAGATAGAGAAAGTCTGTTTGACAGGAAATAGAATTTGTTAACTTATACTGTCACTGAATTTCTGGGAATTAAATTTGACCATTTTTTAAAGTAATAATTTGTTTATTCTCAGCCAAATAAATAATTAAATTATAATTTCTCTCTTGTGTTCTTTTCTACATTCCCAGCATGGCGTTGAACTGGAGACAAGCGGGTTATGATTCGTTTCTGAGCCAGAGCGACTGACATCTGTATCCTCTCTATAAATATAATTGTGATCTATAATACTATTCTCACTGTCAATTGCTGGGTCGGAAATCTTCCATCACGTGTTCCTTTAGCTCTTTGCTATCGGAAGATCGGAAAATATTTGTGAAATCCTATTTCCATTGTCGACTCTCATGAGCCATTTTCACGAAACAAAATATCGCCTAGAGATGATTTTACTGAAATCTATTTGTAAGCAATCAGTGCAAACGATGTAAGGGGCTATGACGGTTCCATCTCGCAGTTGAAACTAAGTTGCACTGAAGTTCAGTGAGAAAGTTTCACATAAAATGCATTGAAAAAACAGAAAGAAAGAAAAAAGCATAGATTGTAGCAAAAAAAGAAAGCATGAAATTAATATTAATAATAGCTGAAAAAGACAAGGAAGAAAATGAAAGAAAATAAACGAGAGAAAGTGCCGGGAAAGGAACAAACGAAACCATGAGGCTATGAAGGCTAGAGAGAGAGGGGGGGGAATAGAGAAGGGGAGGGAGGAAGAGAGGAGTTGAAAGTAAGTGGGGGAGATGGAACGAGGGAGGGAGAGAGAAAGAGAGAGAGATAGGAGGAAGAGAGAAAGAGAGGAAGAGAGACAGAAAGACATATAGATAAAGAAAGAGGCAAATATCATTTCAAAACAGTTATAAAAACAAAGGAAAGCAAAATAAGCATTGTGCTTATCGCAATTTCCTTATTCAGATGAAACAAATATGTTGTACAAGAAGATTTTTCACTAAGCATTATCTATCTATCTGTCAATTTCTCTCCCTCTCTCTCTCTCACACTCTCTCAAATCACACACACACACACACACACATACATATATATATGTGTGTATATATATATATATATATATATATATATATATATATATATATATATATATGTGTGTGTGTGTGTGTGTGTGTGCTACACGCGCGTGCGTGTGTGTGTGTCTACGGTTCTGGTCGCCTGACGATCCCGTAGCGTGAAACTCGAGTAGCAAACAGAACTTTTTCTCTTGCTGAGTCACGTCACAGGGAACTGTACTGATCTTATCTTGGCAGTTTAAACATGGAGCACTGTATATCACTGTGTATAGGTAGGGTCTGCATTTTGTTTATGTTTTGTTTTTCTTAGTTTATTCTTCCTTTCCCCTTTTTCTTATATTGGTTGTTTGTTGTGGATTCCGGGATGAAATCCAGTACCAATAATTAACAAACGCCAAGAATGAATATAGGAAAATAACGTATTCACTTAATAATACAAACTGGTAATGCAGGTTAGTCGTTCCAGGAATACGGTCTAGTAGCAAAATATCTATATACAGTCTCTGTTTTCGAATTGCTTGTCGGGTCTTCACGTAGCAGTAGTATATGTATATACTGGGTGAGTCCATTTGTGTAAAAATGTGTGTGTGTGTTTATATATGCGTTATGCGTATATTTCGGTAGCATATTCTCAGTAAGACACGTTTCGTTGTACAGTTTAGACATATTCTGTCTACTCATTTTCAATAAGATCCTTTCATACGCTCGGATAAGATTTTGATGTTATTACTGAAAGACGAGAAAAAATCGCCGCGTTTATACATATTTGTTTTATTACCATGTACTTTTTTCTGCTTGGTGGGAGTGACCTTAACTTGTTTAACAATCGTAACGGAGTGCTGAAAGTTTTTTAAAAATAGAAAGTTACCCACTAGAATTCCAAACATGCCCAACACATCATGGCTCCTACTATCATTCACAATAGTAAATTTGTGTTCTCTCTCACTCGCACCAAACTGAATATCTGAATATGTAAGAAGGCTGGATAAAACTAAAACAAAACATTAATAAAATTTTCCTTGACTGTCACATTTAACGAAAAATGTTTAGAAGAAATGCTTCTGCTTAAATATACAATTATATATCATACACACACACACATATGTTATTAAAACTTCCAAGTATTTTTATAATATAATGGAAGTAAATATTTATTAATAATAAAAAGAAAAGGCCAACTCTTATCAATATTAACTACGAAAAAATCCACAATGTGCTAGCCGTATTCGTAAATAAAAACATCCATACAACACACTAAAACATACACATAATGCAGACACTCATTTAAGCTGAAAAATTGAATCATCTTTGATAATGTCTAAACATATAGCCGAAAGCGCTCGGAAATATAAAACATTTTGACAGTTTTTACACACTCTTTGTTCAGAAAAGAAAGCTTTTGTTTGAACACAAGAAAAATTAAATAAAAAGCTTAACCGTAGTACCCTGTCTGTTGTTTTTAATGAGACATGCATAAATGAAGGATTGTTGCCTAAATATACAACTATATATATATATATATATATATATATATATATATATATATTGAGCTCCCTCGTTGTTTCCGACGTATGAGTATTAAAAAGCTCAGTTAATAGAACCAAAAGCCAGACTACCCGCATCTATAATTTCATTATAGTGATGAAGGTTTTGAAGAACAAACCACACTTTCTAGAAAAGCCGAATACAGAGAATTGGTGCACAGTAAGCCGCAATGCCCTAAACGACGCTCAACGGGTTTTGAATTCAAAGTTGACCCTCTGTTAAACCGTTAGCAACCTAAGGCTATAGGACCCAGTCTATCCTGCTATTAACTTATATATATATATATATATATATATATATATATATATATATATATATATATATATATATATATCAGTTCATTTATGTTTACCTGCCTCCGTGTATTCTGTCTGTTTCTTTCTATATAAATTTCTCAATAAAAAATTCTTATCAGTGATGCAGTTGACGAACTCATATCGAAAACCAGTGATAGTGAATTCTAACTTTACATTTTGTTCTACAAAAATATATTTTTTGATAGGCAATTCTCTAAAAACATCAATTTCGATTAATTCTATCATCGATGTCCCTGTTATGATTAGGGTTTTGTGTTTGGTGCGTAGATGGGTAAATACATCAAAGCTTTGAACAATAAACGAATATCGATTATGCAATTCAACTGTATTCACATACCTGTCGACTTAAAAGGATAGATTATATAAACCGTTCATTTTCCTGCTTTAATATCTGTTATATTGTATTCTAGGCCCTCTTTCTTTATATTTTTGTTATATGAACACACACACATTTTATGCATTCTCCGTTAAATAAGATGATATATATATATATATATATATATATATACAAAAAAAAATCTTCCAATAAAATTTTTTTCTTAAAACATAACTTAGGATTTCTAGGAAGTATAGTTATAAATGTGTACATTTTTGTTGTTATCACATTTCAAGAGTTGTGCCAAAAGGTTTTCATCAGGTGATTGTCGATCAGCTTATCTTTCAGGGAATTTTGAACTGAACCCACAGAATTTTGAACTGGACCCTAACCCCAGTTCCAAATTCCCTGCCGGGTTAGATTTTTCTCGTTCAAGTGATCATCTATAGAGATTACCGAAATGTAATAATCAAAAGGTTACTGAGAATGAATGAAACTGAGAAAAGTTGAAAAAGGAGGCGAGCATTAAAAGACCATGATCCAAATAAACAGATAACGACTTTTAATTTTTGAAGATTCTTGAACTCCTTAAGAAAATACAAAGAATCAGCAATATTATCGGTCCTGAACTGGCAGTTCGGCTTTAATCAAGTTTCTCTTTGTGTCTTTTCTATAAATACTTGTGTGGTAATTGTTCCAATGATCTCTTCGATTTGGTTTCCCTAGACTTTATGAATTTAAGCGCAGTACCAGACTGGCGTCAAGATCTCATCAACTGACAGCTGAGCTGGCTAGATGTAACCGTAAATTATATACTAGCAGTTTCTTTTCTCGCACAAAGTTTTAAATGCAGTGCCAATCGCTATCTAATGTTCTCCTGAATACTCTCTTCTCTTTCCGCTCAATAATAATGTTTCTGTTCTTAATTCTTAAACACCAAGTAACTCCTTGTGTCTTAGCGGCTTTATTACCTTGCATGGGATGAAACAGATTAAAAAAGAAAAAAAAAACGATCGTAGTTACCCGGAAATCAAAAAGCCGCAATTTGATACTATCTACAATTGGATGGGGAAAACTGAAAACAGCTGCATCCACATCACAATTGAAGTCGCAAAATTTTGGTCAAAGCATGGTGTATGGTTTTCAGGCACTTCCACTTATATAAAAGAGTGACAAGAACTCTCAAGATGTCGGGCGATTCCTTTAGTCACAGGTTTTGTTTTGCTTTTCATTCAGAGTTCTTCTCTTAGACTGGTTGCTGCCCTAGTCTAGAAAGCTCAGTCTACTCGACTATTTAACCCATAACTGGGAGGAAGAAGTTATTTGCGCGAAAGTAAATGCAATGAGCACGAATCGGCGATTTCCCCATTAATTGTGTATTAGGCAGCAATTCTTCATTTATACAAGTTTAATTAAAAACGAAGTTACTACGATTACGATTTTATTAAATTTTCCTTGCATTCATACAAGTGCTATATTTTCTGAACATAAACTGTGTAAAAACTGTCCAAATAGTCTATATATCCGAACGCTTTTGGCTATTTTATTATCTATCAAGGATATTTACTTTTTTCCTCTTTTAAACTGAATATGTAGATTTTTATACATGTGTATCTATAATGATGAGAATTTTTTTTTTCAAAGACGATCAGCATCTTGTGGCCGTGTTCGTAGTTGTTCATAGTTGATAACATTGAGTGTTGGCCTTTTCTATTTTTATTATTAATGCTTCCATCATTTTAAACGTTTTTCTATATTTGGATGACACTGTTATGATTTTATTATCTACGAATATGTTGCGGACGGAATTTGGTAAGTTTATATATATATGCATAAAAAAAAATTAAATTGTTATTTTAGAGAGAAACGAAGATGTGGTAAAACGCTTTGAGTTCTTTCGTTATTAATATCAGTAATTTTATCCCGAAAGCAATTTTCTGGCTAAATGATCTAATAATTACGAAAATGGTAGACAAAGGAAGCTTATAAATTTTAAAAAATGTGATAATATCAATCAATTTTTGCGGGCCAAACTTTGTTAGATTTTTTTAAATGAAATTTATGAATATATATATATATATATATATGTGTGTGTGTGTGTGTGTGTGTGTGTGTGTGTGTGTGTGTGTGTATGTGCGTGTATGTGTACGAATACAAAATTGCAGCACCCTCCAGAGTATTCTTTCTGCTTTCAAACCACAGTATTTTTGAACCGTTTACATTCTTTCATGAATTTCGAATTATTACAGTAGTATTGAAAAATTCTCTAGACAATTCAAGTTTTACCATCATACCATAAATTGTCAAGATTTTTTATTAAAAAAATTGCATGAGATAAAAATTTTATACGCGATCAACTTCCATAATCTCGCCCGTTTCTCGTTGGGCTTTACTCCCAGAGGGATTTCTGTGTTTCCTTCTTTTTTTTTCGGGATATGATCAAGCACTGTAGATCTCCTTATGTTTTTAGAACCAGAACAAAAGATGGGAAACTCTATAATGGCAAAAGATTTCTGAAGTGATATGTGTTGACATTACAGTCTATGAAATAAAAGGAGTTTATATTGACAAATGATTCTATTTTACATTTAAAGAATTAAATTCATTGTCTCGTAAACAAATCGAAAAAATACATCACACCAAA